AAAGTAGCATTTATAGTTTCACTGAAGGGAAAAGGGGTATAGTGGGAGTATTTTTTTTTGGGGGGGGGGGTAGCTAATAACAAGGTCATGGAGAATAGCAACATGCTAAACCCAAGCTGGTCATGGAGAATAGCAACATGCTTGCAAGTTAACTCCCAACAGCTGCCCTCAATAATTTGGTATACAACTTTTGGGCTCTATAGGCTGGACCCCCCTCCCCCAATGCCCAACTCAAATTCCAAGATGTAGGAAAACCTTCCTTTCATGTTTGCTCTCCCCCATTTCAAATCTTTCAGAGTGACTCAAACTTTTCCTAATTAGTAATGAAAAAGAAAACATTTGAACAGATTTGGATGCAGCCCTTGCAACCCTGGTAGTTGGGCATGAACTCTGACTTGCACCCACATAGCTGTCTATAGAAATTGAACATTTAATTGATCCCTGTGTGGCTGCCTAGAGCCCTGAATTTAAAAACACGTGCTATCATTACACCAGATAAACTCCCAGCACAAGCCATATACATGAAAATTAGGAACCCTTTTGGATGGCCCTCCTTTCTCTTTCAAAGGAGCTCTTCAATTTTGACTCTCTACAGCAATAAAAAGACACGTGATCTTGCCCTGGCTGGGTGGTCAGTTGGTTGAGCATTGTCCCGTGCATCAAAAGGCTGCCGGTTCGATCCCCAGTCAGAACACATATAGGAGGCAACCAATCCATGTTTCTTTCTCTCTCAAATCAATAAAAACAACAACACATATCCTTGGATGAGGATTAAAAAGAAGATGTGATCTCAAGGAACATACAGAGTTTGCTAAGCAAGTATGATAGTGGCTAACAGACAGAACAATCCCACTTTAGCAGCTATTAAGATACTTGAGTTGTTTGTTCCTGTCTTCTTGATGCTGACTGGAACCAGTGAACAGACTGAGAGGGGAAAAAACACAAAACCCAAATCACAGAGTAGGTGAAAAGTTTTAAAAAGAATTGTGTGGTGATGACCAAACCCTGACTGGCAATGTAGTCCGAAACCAATCCTACCAGACTGCTGTACCGATTTTTAGGTAATTTCCACACAAAGGTGGAATATTGGCGCTAGATGAAAGGTAGACCTATTTTCTACAATGTCTCCAAGTTCCATCTTATTCTAACCACTTGTTTGCATGTAACTAACATTTTTCTATCTCATGTTGGTTTTTTCTCTTTAATGCTCAGGAGCCCAGGTATAGGGGACAGTTAGGTTCAGGGCCTCAGGTCTGATAAGGCTAAGCCCTAGGACAAGGAGGGTAGTGTGTAGAGAAAAGCTAGCAGAATCTAGCACCGGTTCTTCCTTATGAGGGCTCAAGAAGCGTACCTCTGAAATAACTCACGTATGCACTGACAAGAACACCAGGAAAGCCAACCACTCACAGCTGCTTCCCCACGGCTCTCCTGACAAACTTACCAGCACATATTTGCTCAGTGTGAGCCTCACCTAGAGGTAGCTCCTACCTTGGAGACAGGGGCGAGGAATCTGGACTGTGTTTTCCCAAATAAGGGAAATCAAATCACCTACAGGCAACACCCTCTATTTTTCCCACTCCTGACTGATAGCATCCTTAATTAAGCCAGCTTCAAAGGATTATAATTAGTGCCTGGAGGTCAAAGTTCAAACCCGTGGTTTACAAATCTTAACAGAAGTCATATAACCTACTTAGCTGAATAACATCCCAAAATCATCAATCCCTGCCCTTGGGGATAGATTTAAGTCCATTTCTTTTTTTCTCACCACAGTACTTGGAAGACAGTCAAAGAAGGTAGTGTGAGAGGGAGGGGCATCCTGGTTCATCATTAAAAAATAAAGATCTCTTTAAGTGTCATCTGAGGTTATATAAAAATTTTCTTTCAATTCTCCTCTGGATCTGCCTCCAAGGGTTCATCTTCTAAGCCAAAACTCAGCTTGTCAGCTAGGCTCTCAAACTGCTTGCCCAGACTGCCTGCGGAGTCCATGAACATGTTAGGGATGTCTTTGCCAAAGTAAATCTTGCTGTTGGAAGCAATGGCCTTGTACTTCATCAGCTGCAGATATTCAGGGGTCAGCTTCAGCTGCAAAAGTAAGAAGTAAAGAAGACTCAGGTGGAGCCAGATTAGAGAAAACTATGGGGGACACTTTTTCACTTGTCATAAGAAGTCTCTGTCAAAGACACATGCCCTCTCTCCTTTTCCTGGCCACATAGTTACATTAGTAACAGGGTAACCACTCTCTAGGAGAAAGTTATCTCAGATCTTCAAGGCTAGAGCTGCAAAAGTTTTAGGAGTTCCCATGTTAACACAAACATTTTTAACATGAAAATTACACTTCCATCAAGGCACTGCTAATGAAAAGGGAAGAACTTGTCCCACACAGCACAGGAGTCATCACTTGCGGCCACGGGGGCTTTGGGTGGTGGAGGTCTTCCCACACTGGGAACTCTCAAACAAAATCAGCCTAAATCCAAATACGCCTTCTCTTTGCCAGGCAGACTGATGGTTTACCTTATTCGCTTCGGCCATTTTCATAGCAGTATAGCACTCAGCATCAGCCTTTGCCTTCTCCCGCGCCAGGAACGCAGCGTCTGAGGGGGAAATGCAGTGACCTGAAGTGCAGAGGCTACCAGGGTCTGGTCGCTGTAACTTTCCTGGGTGCCTTTGTGACCCTGGGTGAGTTTTCCTCATCTGTGAAATAGGGGTAGAGAGCTCTGCCTGCGTCTCCCTGTGGTGGGGCATGAGGAGTCCCCTGCTGTGCCCAGCATCTTATCTGACAGCATTACTGAGAGAAGCACTGCTGCCCAGAGCACTTCCCGTGTCTGCACTCCTGTTCCGTTTGTAGTTCCATGTGTGGGGAGGGACCCTGCCCCAACCTCCTGGTTCAGAGCTTTCCACCTCAGCCCTCGTACGTTACACAGCAAAAGCCCAAAGAAGGCTCTGAATACAGCCAGAGGCGGATCCACCCTAACACTGACTCCCACAGAATAGTTTGGTCCCTCTCCAACTTCATTTCCCTTTTCTTTCCAATAACCATTTCAAAAAGGTTCTAATTAGCAGTGGTTAAGCTGGCACAACTCTAAGAGAATTATAAGCCATGGTCCAGACTAACACCTGTTTGGTTTAAGACCTACTTAAACTTCCGCTACACAAGCAGTATACTTCCTCAATCTGCCAAGACCGGCTTTCAAGTTGATGCAAAATTTTTGGTGTTTACTTCCTTGCCTAGGGAATAAGGCCAGTCTCAGGTGAGTAATATCTGTAGCAAAAAGGCTAGGAGGGAAGGTCAGTCTGTGGGTGGGTCCTTACTGCACACCCTCAGCCTGACCCTGGGTGGAAGGAGCCTACAGTCTAACCCAGTGATGGCGAACCTTTTGAGCTCGGTGTGTCAGCATTTTGAAAAACCCTAACTTAACTCTGGTGCCGTTGTCACATATAGAATTTTTTTGATATTTGCAACCATAGTAAAACAAAGACTTATATTTTTGATATTTATTTTATATATTTAAATGCCATTTAACAAAGAAAAATCAACCAAAAAAATGAGTTTGCGTGTCATAGGTTCGCCATCACTGGTCTAACTGCAGTTTGGGTTGCATGCGGCTGACTTAACTGGCCTTAGCTCCTCATGCATGTATTTGTAAGAAATAAAAATGTGTTGCTTTGCTCACTAATGAGGAGCTGCTGATTTGCAAAATCCTAACTGGCTCCCTAATAGGCCCCTGTGAAGCCGGCTGGCCCCATAATGAGTATAACTGGACACAGCACTTTGTAGTAGCCTGAAGTTGGGCTTTCAGGTCCCCTTTCTGCCCTAGAATTTGCTCATATAGCACGTGAAGGAAAAAGGTGGGTGATGGGAATGAGGTGAGGGCTGAGGGGCAGGGAACTGAAGGTAAGTGATACACAGAAAAGTCAGCAAAGGAACAACTTCCCTCCAACTCGTGTTGTTAGTGCTGAAAAGGTGTCTTCTTCACACCCAGCTTAACATCTACAGAGAACCCGAGAGCAAGCTGAGGCCAGAGCTATGGAGTTCTCGGACTTCATAGGAGGGGTGGGTAAAGCAGGCGGGAGAGACCAGCTTCTTAGTTTACTTCCACTGCCAGACTGTGAGCTCCACAGCAGCAGGGACTGTGTGAGTTCCCAATGGCACACAACTAGCATTTGTTGAATGAATGAATGCTCTCTGCAGTGGAAAATTAATGCCAAATCTCCCCCAAAGTGAAAGCAGAGAAAAAGCGATGTTCCAAATAAATCAAGAGATCTTAGAAGGGGGCTTAAAGAGCAAAGGAAATGATGCTCCCCGCCACAAAGTGGCTTTGAGGAAAATTCAGGCATTAATTTCACTTACCTTCAATTTCTGAAATCTTCTTCTCAGTTTCCTTCTCCATCACCTTCTGTCCATAGGTGATTTCTGCAACCTGAGCCACCTTTTCTGCCTCTATGTTAATGGAATTGAGAAAAGGCTTAGAGCTGGTATTTCAAGAGTTTGACTCAATTCCACCTTTCACCTGATCAGAGGCCCTGGTGCAGGAGTGTGGGTAAGCACAGATGGGGTCACTGGCCCCAGAGGACAGCCGTGGCAGGGACACATGGGCAGATGGGAGTGTACCCGTAAGCACAAACCATGACATCAGCTCAAGACAGCAACTGGGGAGACGTGCGCCCAAGTGAGGGGAGTCATTACTCTGATGAAAGCAAAGAACAAGTCCTAACCTCTCTCTTAAGTCACAAGGATTACTTCTCCCAAAGGAATATTTTAAGGAATAAGGTACTCTCTGAAAAGTTTCTTCCTGCCACCTCACGTTAGGAAGTAGTCAGGTTTGTTGTTGAGAGTCCAGTACAGTGGTTAAGAACCCAGGTCTGGAGCAGAGTCCTGGTATCTGAGCCCCAGTTCCACCACTTAACTTGCTTTATGACCTTTTATTTAACCTCTCTGTGCTTTAGCTCAGTAAAGAGAGGTAAACGATAGTGCCTCCCTCATCTGCTAGTTGTGAGGAGAGAGAATTTACATGTAAGTGCTTAGAAAAGTACATGACTCACAGTAGCTATGATCATTATGAATTAATAGTAAGGGCTCCTTTTAAGAGATGTAGGCCCTGGCTGTTGTGGCCCAGTTGGTTGGAGCATCGTCCTGCACATGGAAAGATGGCAGGTTCAATTCCTGGTCAGGGTACATACCTGGGTTATGAGTTCAAACCCTGGTTGGGGTACATACTGGAGGCAACCGATCAAAGTTTCTCTCTCACATCAATGTTTCTCTCTCCCCTCCTCTTTAAAATCTATAAAAAGCGTATCTGGTGAGGTGAAAAAAAAAAGATATTTGGAAACTCAAAACTTATCACCCCAGGCCACGATATGACAATTTCAGCCTTGTTTCTGGGAGTATGACAGCCACTCCTATGTGTGGCAAGGGTTTGGAGAACCATGTGGTTTAACTGTGTCTAAGGTTTCCTCAACTCTCCACCATTCCCAGCCCTTCTGCCCTGAAGGGGCCACAGAACCACTTCCAGACCAATGAGGGCCTTCTTCCGCTCTGTCTCAGCTTCTTTTTCCACCACCTTCTGTTTCTGGGCTGCAATGAGAAGCTTTGTCTTCTCACTTTCCCTGGAGGGGAATAAAAGTACACGGTTGTGAGGCCACCATGGGAAAGCTTCCGAGGAACCTCACGGTCCCCTGGAGAAGCCAAACTCTTCTGAGGAGAGGAACTCTGATTTCTTACTCTCCCCTGGTAGGCTGTTCAATGTCCCAGGTAAAAGCAAATTTGTTGCAGACAGTAGTATGGCTCTGCTCCTCCTCCAAAATAATTCATTTGTGGGAAACAGAGCATAATTTACTTATTGTCAGCTGCCATCTGCTTTAAGTGGCCATTAGTAAAATACACCTGCCTGCCCACTTAATCGTCTTTCCCTCCCATCTTCTTTGGCATGAGCCATGAAGCACAAAAAAGGCGCCCCCCCTGGCCCCTTTAAAAGCATCACTGCTCAAAAGGGCTTCTCCGTGGCTCTCAATCACAGTTACAGAGCCCAGGTGACTGTCCGACACGCCTGCTCCATCCTACAGTGCAATGGGCTGTGACAAATACTCCAGGAGGAGAACAAAAGCATTGCACAGCTTCAGTTAACTCTGGGGCAGGATGAGGTGGGAGGTGGGAGAGTGGTGGTTACAGCTTAGGCAGAGGATACTCACATCAATTCGTAGTTTCTGCGGATCGCCTCAGGAATATTGGGCTTTGTCACCCGCACAGCCTGGGGAAGGGTAAAGAGAGCACTGATGGGAAGGTGAGAGTGGTACGGGACCTAAGCAGCTCCCCTTGGTCCTTCATCTTCCTGCACAGAAAGGACATCCCTTGAAAGAAGGGCTGCACCTTCATCAGGGGACACTCCCAAGGTGGCAATGCTTACTTGGATGACAAGCCCAGGGGCCATGGAGGTCAGGTCCTGTTGCAAAGCCAGTTTGAGATTTTCATCAATTTGATCTGGAATCAAGAAAGACAGGAAAAGGAGTTGTCACACTATCTAGGTAGGGTGGAGGGAAATATGGGGTAGAGGTAACGCTAAAACACCAGTTCAAGAATGTACCTCACAAGCAAAGGTCTTCCCAAGTAAAAGGTCTGGGCTATGCTTATCATAGCCCAGAAACATAAAGTTCTCCAGCAAGACTTTCGGAGCAACGTGCCTCCGCAGTCCCTCTACGTAGCTAGATGTGAGAGTATCCTTTCCCTGTGACCTCGAGAGAGAATCCCTAGGTTATTGAAAATATCAACCTTGCCCAAAAGGGAACTGAGCTTTAAAAAGGAAAAGAACAAACAATCATTTAGCACATTTCTTGAGAAAGGCAACAGTCTTTCCCGAGACAACAGGAGCAAAACAGAAGGCAGGCACCCAGTTTTCACGAAAAAAGAAGATGGAATGGCTCTGTTAAATATTTTGAAAAGAGCTGAGCACATTCAATCTAGTAATTTTAGCTGTTTCTGAAACAAAAACAGATTCTGACGTCAAGGAAGCCCCAAGGAAGACTATTTCCATTAGGAACTCCACCAAATGGACACAAGGGGAAAATAAAAATTTACAGTTCTGGAAATGAGTCCAAGTCTTTTGATGTGTTATTTGCTTTGGTCCTGATTCCTTTGCCTGGAATTCACATGTGGGTCGTTTCACAGACAAGTGTAGGAAGAGCTATAACTGATTCCCTTCTAGCTATGACCCCAGGACAGCAGCACCAGGCTGCCTTCTCTGGTCTGAGAGCCTCAATAAGATCCCAGAAGGGCACCAAGAAAAAGACTCCATGAAACCAAGTTGGGACATCTAAACTCAATCATCTCCCTCATTGTCAGCTGCCATCTGTTTTAAGCGGCCATTCTTGGTCACTTATGCCCAAACAGGAGAACTTTGAGAAATAGCAAATCTAACTCCTGCCTTTTACAGGTGCCCAAACTGAAGTCCACGGAGGCTGAGATGTGCTCAAGCCAGTTAGTAACCAAAATAATGAACCTGATTATTATGTTTTGATTATTAGGGTTTAAAACGGTAATTTTTCCGACTGTCATAACAGTGAGCGAGGGATTTGAATGTTTCCATTTTTTGGCTATGTTCTCACAAGCCTCTTAGCATGGAGGGAGAAATGCTCATAAAGGCAGTACCTTGCACCTGACACTGGCCTAACAATTAGACAGCTAGGGAGAAACATTACATTTTATATTTTCTATTTTAAATAGGATACCCACCAAACTTTAAGTAAGATGGCCTGTACCCTCTGTAAGTTAATAATACAGTCATTTATCAGACCAAATTATATCTGAGTCAAAGTAGAAATCTGTGGCCCTGGGCTGGTAACTTTCAGGAAAATCTGGAAGAAATATTTTGAAATGTGGTTTATTGGCAAAGTAATACTACTAATAAGTTGTTTATGTTACAGTTATGCTGATAAATGCTAGTTAAGTTATATTATTAAATATACACAGGTTCTCCAGGTAAACTCTTGAACAAGTCCTAGATAATCCTATCTAGTAAAATAGTAATATGCAAATTAACCATCACTCCTCACTCTGTCACTCGTCACAAAGATGGCTGTGGCCACAGAGCTGGAGCGAGCAGGAGGCTTGCAATGCCCCCGGCAATGGAGGAAGCCAAGCTTCCCGCCTGCCCTGCCCGGCCCTGAACTCCGCTCAAGGCTATAAAATTTCAATTGTAGAAGATAAATAAATCCCAGATACCTGCTTCCAGCCAGCGTGGCCTCCGCTCAAGGAGGGGCTGGGAGCCTAGGTTGCCAGGGGCAACCTGACCTGGGCACCGCTTAAGGCTACAAAGTTTCAATTATAGAAGTTAAATATATCCCAGATACCTGCTTCCAGCCCGGGGGCGTGGCCAGCCTGAAAACAGCCATCAGCCCCTCCCCCAGGCTGGCCAGGCCCCCCAGCAGGCCCCCCACCCTGATTCGGGACATCCTTCAGGACAAACCAGCCAGCCCCCACCTGTGCACCAGGCCTCTATCCTATATAATAAAAGGGGAATACGCAAATTGACCCTAACAGCAGAATGACTGGGAATGACTGGTCACTATGACACACACTGACCACCAGGGGGCAGATGCTCAATGCAGGAGCTGCCATGATTCGCACTGGCCATTTACAGAGAAACGGCAATGCGGACCTGGCACTGACAAATCAACACTCGGCTTCCCCCAAGTGGGACACAGGCCCCACCACCGCCCTGGAGCGAGAGTCCACCAAATCGCAGCCAACGCTGCCAAGACCCCATGGCACAAAATGTGGCCCTCAGCCCAGAAACGGTCACTGTGGGTGCTGGGTAATGACATCACGTAGCAACTCCTGGCTTCCTCTCCCTGCTGACTAGTCTCCTTGGAGTTTCTTCAGCCCAGGAACACCACTTGCTTTATAGCCAGGTGCAAGCATTTTACACTTTAACCAAATGTTTGTGAAGCGTTTTCACATGCATCATCTCATTTGATCCTCACATAAGCCCTGGAGTAGGTAGGTGGGGACTCAGTAGAATCCTATTTTCTTTTCATTAGCCAGAAAATGGAGATTTAGAAAGTTTAGAAACTTGACCTAACTGAAAAGAGATAAGAAATGGTGGACCTTGAAAATGACTTCAGGTTTTCTCACTGTGCAGATATATTCAAACACTGCTGCAGTTAAAATCTGCTTCATGTTGATATTTACTGCTATGTTGTTAACAATGACCTGAAAGAGAAGTTGAGGTGCTTCACTGGGCTGGAAAAAGTTTAGCAAATCAGAAAGCAGGTCGAGTTAAGCAAGTTTATCTGTAATAATAAAAAAGTAATATGCTAATTAGACCGGCTGTCATTGCGGACATCATTGCCAACATCCTTCCGGACAAAGCTGGGGCTGGAGTGAAGCCCAGGTCCTGGGTGCCAGAGGGAAGTTGGTGCCGGCAACTGGGGGAAGAAAGGCCTACTCTTGCTTGACTTTTGTGCATCAGGTCTCTCTCTCTATATAAAGCTCTTGCTAGTGCCAATCACACATGTGTGTTTCCATCTGTTACTGTCAATCATGAAATTGGTTGACACGTCTCTCTCTATATATAAAGCTCTTGCTAGCGCCAATCACACATGTGTGTTTCCATCTGTTACTGTCAATCATGAAATTGGTTGACACTTCTATTATAGAGAAAGGGCGAATAGCAATTATTAAAATATTTCTTCTAATTAATTTCCTTTCAATGTGCATGAATCCGTGCACCAGGCCACTAGTATTTTTATAAAATGGGCAAAGAGGATGTGTCACAGTAAGCAGTGATGAGAATTATGTAGTCCTGTTGAAAGTCAGGCCTAGGAATCTTGAGAGGATGGAACTAGAAAAAAAAACTTTTGATGGTTAAGGAATAGGATTAGAGACTCTAGTGTCTCCTTTACAGATGCAAATATAGTCTTAGCAAAACAGTGCTTTCAGGTAAGATTGAACTTTAAAAAAGAAAAAATACCTCAAATCGCATTTTCTCAGCTACTTTGTACAGAAGCCATACTTTACTAAGATAGTAAGAAGTTTTCTAATGCAAAACAATTTCATATTTTAATTTCCTCCTCGTGGAAATTAGAGATCCTTTGTCTTTTTTAGTTTCAAATGTTCATTTAATGGCACACGTTTATAAAACAAGGGCTAGAAAGACAACTAATGATATTTTATAAAATTCTATTGGTTTGAGGTTAAAAATATAGCAAATTTACCAAATTTTTCTTTTTCTTTTTTTAAAATATATTTTCATTGATTTCAGAGAGGAAGGGAGAGAGAGAAACATCAATGATGAGAAAGAATTATCAATTGGCTGCCTTCTGTACGACCCCTACTGGGGATCCAGCCTGCAACCCAGGCATGTGCCCTTGACCAGAATCGAACCCTGGACCCTTCAGTCCCCAGGCCCATGCTCTATCCACTGAGCAAAACCGGCTAAAGCCCAAATTTTTTCTAAAAGCACACTGAATCCAACCCCAATAAGAGATTGTAAGCCCTATATTGTGAATTTAGATACATTTTCTGCTGCAGAAAATTGTGATTCTGATAATTTCCCAAATTTGAAACACAGTGTAAAAGGCTGTTTGCTTAATTAAGGCCACTGGCAACATCAATGATTCCTCCTTCCGTGTACTCTAAAAATGTTCTCACTCAGGGTCCTTTTTATGAAGATTTCTGGGAAAAATAACTGCCCAGTCCTAGTGTCAGGAATAGTTGTACTATGGGTTGAAAAACCATTTACTTTTAGCACTGGCTACTAGACAACTTCTAGGAGCAAGTTTAAATAGAACATTTTTCCACCTAAGAGCTATAACAATTACTGAAATGTTTCCTTCCTTTGTTGCTGAAGTCAGGTTATTTTTACTTTGACCAGGAAAAAAGGACAAGAAATGTCTACTTAAGAATGTAGACCCTTTTTGTTCTAAGCTTTTTCCTATTCATTTCTGTAAGTATAGGGTAAACAAACAAATAAAACCCCCACAAAGGTTCCAGAAACTGTAAGTAGCTATGGTCCTTGTCCCACTTCTAGAATTAAAGGTGAGCCGTCCTGTTTTCCTCACCCTTCCCTGGGTGCCTTTCATTCAATGATGTGATGAAAAGCACACAAAGTGAGGGCCAGAAGAGAGAGGTTCTAGCTTCAGCCACTACCAATTAGCTCCACGACTGCTTTTGTGGTTCAGTACCCTTATTTTAAAATGAGGATGTTGAGTTGGATAATCTTTCAGGTTCTTCTAGAACTGAGCCTGTCCTCATTACAGAATATTTTAGGGACCGTGGAAACACATTTCCATTCCAGTCCTCTGATTCAGGCCAGTAGTGAGTCCTGTAGTCCACTGTTACTTCTGTGCCCAAAGCTCAACCACTCTCATGGTCTTCCATTGTCACCAGCATTTTCTAGGAATGCCCTTTGTGACCAGTTCCTGAGCACAGGATCCTTTAACAGCTCCTGTCCAGCAGTGCCCATTCTACCCTGTGGGTAGCTCAGAAGTAGGCAGTGGGGGGAAGCAGGGCTGTCAATGCAGGCTCTGATCAGAAGATACTCCTTACCAAAGAGCTCAATGTAGACCTCCTGAAGTGTATGCACACTGCAGAACTGGTTCAGTTCATGGTGGATCTTGTTGAAGATGAGGGCCTTGTCATAGTCGGCAGTATAGTTCTTCACTATATCATATACTGGAAGGGAGGGAGAGATTCCAGAATAAAAGGCAGGTCTCAAAACTTGCAAAACAGAGACAGACTCATATATAGAGAGCAGGCTGACAGCTGTTGGGAAGGGTGACTGGTATTGGGAGGGGGGTGGAGAAATTGTGCAAAAAAACACTAATGGATATAAATAGTGTGGTGACTGACAGGAGGTGTGGGGAGAGAGGTGGAGGAGAGTATGGGGGAATAAATGGTGGCGAATACACAATACAGTGTAAAGATGATAGGTTGTAGAATTGTGCACCTGAAACCAGTATAATTTTGTTAACTAGTATCACCCCAATCTACACTAATAAAAGAGAAACATGGTAATTGGCATACGACCGCTACCCTTTTCATTGGCTAATCAGTGAGATATGCAAATTAACTGTCAGCCAAGATGGCAACCAGCAGCCAGGCAGCTTGAGACTAACATGAGGCTTGCTTGCCTCAGTGATG